AAAAAAATAATAATTAACTCTGGAACAGCATTAGGCTACAATGGGAAGAATGACTAAAATTATAATGATAGTACAAAACATTATCAGTCTATTACTCTACAGAGGCTATTTTTAGATTGTAATGAGACATCTTCGTTCAAATTATAAGTGCTTCAGATTTAAATAAAGTGCATCCTGAAAGTATGACTTTCCGGATGCACTTATTTAGTACTGATTTCATGTATTTCATAGTAAAGCCTTATTCCCAAATGGACTGGGTTATTGTGAGTAAAAATCTGAGGTGAAAAATCAATTTAATCCATTCTGGAATAAGGCTGTAACATGACGAAATGCAAAACAAGTGAAAGTAAAGAGCTATGAATACTTTCCAGGTGCAATTTGCATGTATTTAATTCATGATTCTGACAGTTAGTTACATTTTTAGTGTCTAAACTGGTGAGCAGGCAAAATTGCACACATATGTATATGTTAAGCAAAGCTATACAGTGAGGTGAGAACACCTGAAATGATGCTGTTGGCACAGATGGACATGCGGGTAGACAGATGTAGGAGTAGAGGTTGGAGAACAAAGTGGTATAGTTACGCAGTGGGGTTGCACTCAGCCTGCTGGTTTGTGTGCATTCACAGATCACCAATGCTCCCTCAGCTTGCTTTTTTGCTCATTTAAATGAATCTGACAAGCATGACTGAATGACTCAAACACAAATCAGTGCTCTTTTTCCCCCCTACAATTGGCTTCTGATAAAGTCCAAGATGAAATTAATTCTTGATCTCGGTAACACCTCACAAAGCTAAGGAAGCTACAGTTATCTGTGTCTCTGAATCATATTGCTTGATCTTCAGCACTATAGTTTATTAGGTTCCTTATTACTGTTTCATTAATTGTTTTCAAGGTTAAGTTTTTGTTATTAGGTCAACATTTCACATTGCTCGAATCAGAGATTTGAAAGAATTGTGGACACAATGTATGCACTAAGTTTTATAGCATATGTAACAGCACAGGTGGGACAGTATGAGTAAAAACTGATGGGGCTTGAGTTTTCAATTCAATTCAATTTTATAGATTATGTACAGCTCAATTAACGACTGTGTTCCTTATGAGCGGCTGTCTCAGAAGATCATTATGATGCTGCTGGGGGAAATGTTGCTACTCTAAAATGTAAACTTCTGGTTTGAGGGTTTTTTTTGTTGTTGTTTTGGCTTTTTTTACACCAATATGTGTCTCTGTGCATTGAGAAGGATAAAAATATCAACTATAATAAATGCAGAAAACACAATAAGGAGTGTTGTATTAAATAAAAATAGTTGTGAGATGCTGTATCAATAGAAGTAGTCCACGGGTTTTTTTTTTCCAAACTTCAAGATGCTGTGTGATCTACCTCCCCCTATTTTGTATATGAGAACAAGACAATCCCTTGAAATCCTCATGCGCAGAGCTCCAAGTTGTGAATGAAAAATGGCAGGCACCAAAACCAAGCTTCTGTCACTACGTGCATACTGGCATAAAGATGATGGAGAGAAGAACAAAGCCAGTACCCCCCATTCACACATTATTTAGCCTGGCGTGTTATGAATCTGTTACAAATCCTTTCATAGTGTGCTCAAGAAGAATAGCCTTACGTGATAATGTGCGGAAAGGCTATCGCTCTGCAGCAGCTGTACAGCTTCAGTGTGGGAGTGAGTCCCCTATGACAAGGCTTCCACAAGCTGGGTTCATTGACATGGACGCTAAGGGGACAGCCATGGAATCAGAGCTGTATAGCTGCTGCTTCCCTCGCCTCCCTGTGCACAGATTTAAGCACATGCAGGGGGCTTTCATCTATAAGATTGAGACAATACAAGAGAAGCTTTACAGAGCATCCAATAAAGGGCAAATAAATGTGACCACAAACATGCACAGAGAGAGACGAAATCAAAGACCTGCTGGAACAAATGATTGCTTCAGATGGTAAATAGTTGTAACCATTAGGGAAGATGAGTGTTTTTGCCAACATAAATAAATACAAAGTATGTAAAATTCTTGTTTTATTCTAAAGGATAAAACAGGATAAAATGTAAAGTTTCTGCACAAACTATTTTGTATATACTAACACAATGAATTCATATTCCCATGCATTTTTTGATAATATAATATACTAACCTACCACATCATGGGATTTCATTTCAATAGAGTTTGTTTACGTTAATTAGAAATACATATAAAGTTTTTCTGTATTTAAATTTTCATTTTTTTTTATTATAGTAAATGATTTAGAGCTTTCTCATGTAAATGCAATTGATGGAGCTATGTTAAGCTAAACCGTGTATAGGTTTTATTTTTCAAATGGTGTTGTTTCATTTTTTATGAATTAACTGCACACACTTTACTGAATCTGTTCACTGGATAATTAAATTAAAAATATATACATATATTACCACAAATACCTTAAAAATCAGAAGTCATAAAAGTTGGAGATTTGTAATGTGTGTAATTCTCACTGTAGTTTAAAATAAATGAAAATGTTGCTTTGACACGGCCTAACCTCACCAGAAAAACATGACGCACATTGTTAGATTGCTTGATTAAAGTTTTGTGTGTGTGTGTCCCTTATTAACATAATTACAGTGAATTAATATATTTTAACCTAAATTATGATTTCCAGTAGTAGTCCAATACAGCGGAAGTCCCGTGTTTAACTTGTGCCACTGTCACATCTTCTTCCATTCAAAGTGGACAAAAACTTATACTTGTCATTTCAGGAGTCGCTGTTAATGAATGAAGGCACTTTTTTTTTCATCTTTTTCACATCTATGTAAAAATTTAATTTGGAAGATATCTGCAGTGACAGCTCATTAACATCTAAGGCCTCCAGCATCTCAGGGTAAATCTTTGTGTCTCTGGCACAATGCCACTTTAGATATTTTAATTACCTCAGTGTCATCGTTCAGCAAAAAGTGAAACCAATTCCCCTTGAGCCATGATCCCAATAGTGTGTTTACTAGAATCCTAAATAAAATATTGTTTTATTACTTAAAGATAGTCCTCTCATGGTGTAGTCCAGCCTTGTCTGCCATGTTGCCATTACTGGATCACAATTGCTGGACTTGTGTTCCGCGTTTATGTGCTTGTGTTTGATTTTATTTTGAAAAGGAAAACATAAAATATTTTATTTCTGTTCTGTTCATGCTTAGATGATATTTAGATGCTTAGATCCAAGCAACTGATAATGAATATTTTATAATTGTCATGCAAAAATCTCAAGACTGTCTAAAGACTGTGTGTTTAACAGAAATGTTCATGTAAAGGTAAACCTCTAATTGAAGACTGGTCCATGTAATGTATGAATGTGACCATAACACTGATATTCTGCATTATCCCTGTGATGACCTGGCAATGGGCTACACACTGCCACTCACCTAATGCTGGTTTAGGCTCCATCCCTCACTGACCCACTTTGAGGTAACATGAGTATGGAGCTAAAAAAAAAAAAAACCCAAAAAACCCAGCTTCTAATATTACCAAGATTTATGACATTAAATTCTCATTCAAGTCAAATCATAAAGACAGTCTAAACTATTAACACACACAGTCTTTATTGTAAAAGCCAAATAACAGGTCACTGTGCAGACTGGAAAAACCCAAAGTAAACTTGTGAATTTGGACATTTCACAACAACAGTAGCAGTGAAATTATCCAGTAGATCCCTGGATCTACAGTAGTCCCTGTAGGTGCTTATAAAACTTGGTCAGTAATGGGGAGGAATACTTTATCCCAGACATAGTGTTGAACATTCAGGCAGCAAACTTTCAAAAAGTGCATTCATTTTTAATTGGGTGGCAGTAGCCTCCTTCCTGAAGTCCTTTCATTAACAATATTCACTTTTTTTCATTACTATTTTAAATGTTTCTTTGACAGTTTTTCAGATCTGTTTCCTTTTAACACCCACTGTGTTCTTTTTAAACTCATATCATGTTCATTATCACCACAACCAGTCCTTTATCAAGTGAAATGCAGATACCCTGGAGACAGAGCTTTGCAAAATCACAGAGCCCCAGGCAGTAACGCTGATGTGACAAGTTTCTGTCAAATGCATACAAACAAGATGGATATATGAAAAAATAAGAGAATTATTTCTATTTTTTCCCCTTTTTCTTAAAAAAAGTTATTATAAACAAACTAAAAACACATCAATTACATAGAAAAATAGTAAAAGATAATAAGCCCCATTCAGGCACACACACATTGGAAACCTTGCACCCTTTATGTGTGTCTGAACACAAAACAATCAAAAAGCACAGAGTATGTTTTGTACATATTATTGCCTATGACATTCTGTGCTACCATCCAGTGGAGGACTTGGCTTAGTTAGCTGTTTAACAACATGCTAGCAGTCACGAAAACCTAAAAAAAGTTTTCAGAACATTCCTAATATTCAGCCAGTATGTTTCCAATAGTTTAAGAACATAAATACTCATTTCATTGCTGAAATAGGGGATAATTTCTTAAAGATACACCAACACCATGATGCTCTTTCAGCAGCTGCTTTGAGAATGAGGCATCTTGGCCAGAGCTCCCCCTTCTGGCAGCTGCAGGCATAACAAGTCAATCACACGCATCATTTTTTTCAGAAAAGCTTTGATAGGTAGTATTTCTTTATTTGGTAATAAAGCGATTATCCCGTTTAATGGATTTAACATTGTTTGGATTACACCAGTTTACAAAAAATCGACTGAATTCCAACACCACAGTTTCATTGCGTACCTAACTCTGACTCATGATGAATATCATGATAAAACCAGTCTATTACATATGTAATTTAAATAACATGGCTGATAGAATCATAATGAACTTGCTACCAATTTGGCGGCGTGAAAGGCGATTGTGTGTGTTGCGTCTATAAGGTTGGGTGTGTGCGTGTGTGTTAGGGAGAGAGAGAGAGAGAGAGAGAGAGAGAGCGAAAGAGAGAGGCAGGTGGAAAGGGGAGGGGTTTGGGGTGGTCCAGACAGTCGGTCCTTGTGTACCTCACACACTCAGCCTCTGCGCATCATTTAAGGAGAGCCCGGTTGTCTTCACCGCCTGGCTTCTTAGAAACACCACAGCCGCCTTAGCGTTACTCCAGCACTTTTCCCTCCCAGTTTGTTCTTGTTTATCTGAAGCCAGTCGTTCAACTTAAAAGCGACGCTCCAGCGTTGGATGGAATATACGCTTGTGAGTGGCGCATTTATGCTCCCCTGACCGAGAAGAAGCGCACAGTGGAAAACGTTTTGAGGACTAATGGAAACCAGCCGGGATTCATTGGCACACAGAACATCATGAGAATACTACAACTACCAACAAGGTATAAGGAAACAAGTGTGAACGCACTCCATAATATTACTTTATCTCGCTAAAATCTGAACATTAACACGACATTTCTTTTACACCTATGGTTATTTTTGAACACTTGCGGCTGGGTGGGATGGCTGTTTTGTTCTATATTGTCCTTATCGCGCAGCGTTGGTAAGGATGTGTGCATCGCAGAAAATCTCAGTAAGCCAAACCTGTTCCCGCTGCAGTGTACTGAGCCCTTTTTTTTAATTTAAAATGTCTATGATAAGAAAGCACCGGTGCTCTCTGTAAGCATGAGTCGTCTCTGTTGAAATCGGTGGTCAGAGAAAGCAGTTTTTTACAGTTAAGAGTATAACAGTAAGCTATCATTATTTCCAGCCCCTGCACACAAGCAGAGAGCTCTAGTGTGTCAGTGCATCGGAATAACATACGTCTTATTTTTCATTTAATGGGGGGGGGGGGGGGAGAAGTGATTGTAATTTGACTTGCTATTTTAATGTATTTCCTCCACATTCTGCTTCTGAGGCAAGACTCTCATGAATGCATGGCGTCTGAAGTGGTGATGGTTAGCCTTTATTTTTGTTTAAGTTCCCCATGCCAATGCACAAGTCCATCACAATGTATCTTAAAAGGTAAAACCTTAATGTGACTGATTCTTATATAATACATTCAGTATTACTTTCAGTTCTATCACCAGTTCCCCTTGACATGACATTGGCATTAAATCTTGAAAGTATTGTTTACATGTCTGTGCTGGCTATATAAGACTGTTTTGTCTTTTCCAGCAAGGGCAATGCTTAGATTCTCCAATCAGACCAAACAAGGTCTGGGAATTAGATGCAGATATGATAGAACAGACACAGAGATTAGGGAGGATGCATGGGAAGTGCTGCAGTACTTGGTGAAGTGAGTTGTGTGCCTTATTATATTACTATAACTTTTATAATAACAATAATAACAAATACACAACTTGAACAAGCTGTTTTTTAATGTCATTTATACAAAGAGAAGATTTTTCTCATCATATATAAATACTGTAGTCCGGGCTTTCAGACTGCTTTGTGTGTTTTGGGAACAGATAGACCTGGAATGAAAATAATGAGTTCAGACCTTTTAAAAAAAAACTTTTTCATTTTCAAAAATTAAACTGCAGCAAGAAAGAGGAGGCAAACGGAAAGATTAGGAATGAGTCATCGTTGGGTCAAATAAGCACATCGCAAGCAGTATTTTCTTTGTGGTTCTAGGACCAAAAGGTTACAGTTTCCTTAATTATGTTACATATGCAAAAAGAAAAAGGGTTGGATTATATTTGATAATTCATGTTGACGCTCTAAACAACAGCCCTAAAAGAAATTCTGTCTGAGCCATAATCATAAGATTTAATAGCAAAATCAACTGGAGTGCAGGTTGTCCTGCTGTTAATTGTGATATTCAAATTAGATTTCATTGTAATATACTTCATTACATTACCATCTTATACATCTATAGACAGCACGCTGTAAATCTGTATGTTTAAGTGATCTGCCATGTAGTACTGTGTTTGATTAAAAAGAAGACAGACGAACATCAGAGGGCTTTTGCACATTTACAATGCCATACAGAAAATCCTTTCTAGAATAAAAAGATTCTTTGTTCACAGGGAGGACCTAGGCATGGACCCCTGTGTCTAAATGAAGTGGTTCAGCCATGCAATGTTCCTGGAAGGCAGTGATTCTGCTGGCCTTGGCCTCCATTGCCATCCAGTACACGGCCATCCGAACACTCACCTCCAAGCCTTTTCAGCTGTGCCCGTTGCCCAGCCCCCAAAACTGTGGCCTGGGGGGCCAGGAGACCGAACCTCCCTTTGAGCGGGGGACAGCAGGTGGTGGAGGCTGTGATGACTACCCTTACTTTTCCATCAATGCCACACGAAAAACGCACATATTGGTCCTGGCCACCACGCGTAGCGGATCCTCCTTCGTTGGCCAGCTGCTCAACCAGCACCAAGAGGTTTTCTATCTGTTTGAACCTCTTTATCACGTTCAGACCACGCTGATTCCACGTCTATCGCACAGCCGCAATGCTGCCGATCGCCGTGTGATGTTGGGGGCCAGTCGAGACCTTCTGCGTAGCCTGTACGGTTGTGACCTGTATTTCTTAGAGAGCTATATCAAGCCAACACCTACGAACCACACCACAGACAAACTGTTCCGTCGTGGTGCCAGCCGCGCATTGTGCCAGCAACCTGTATGTGATGCCTTTGGGCCTGCTGATGTTAATGTGGAGGAAGGGGACTGTGTTAAGAAATGTGCAACCCTCAATATGACCTTAGCCACAGAGGCCTGCCGCGAGAAGCGGCATGTCGCAATCAAAATTGTTCGAGTGCCGGAGATTGGAGATCTGCGTGCTTTGGTTGAAGATCCACGTCTGAATATCAAAGTGATTCAGCTCGTCAGAGACCCACGCGGTATCCTGTCATCACGGATTGAGACATTTAGGGATACATATCGTCTGTGGCGTATTTGGCGGGCCACAGGGAGAAGGCCCTATAATCTTGACTTGAGTCAGCTCACGGTTGTCTGTCAAGACTTTCTCAGCTCTGTTTCAACTGGTCTCACCCATCCTTACTGGCTGAAAGGGAAATACATGTTGGTTCGATATGAGGATTTAGCGAAAAATCCTCTTCTTAAGACAAAGGAGATCTATGACTTTCTGGGGCTGCCTATGGATAAAAATGTGGAAGACTGGATACATGCAAACACTCGGGGCAGCAATGAGCCTTCAGCAAAACACAAGTTTGGTACGGTGAGGGACTCAGCAGCTAATGCAGAGAGCTGGCGCTTAAAACTATCTTTTGATATGGTGGAATACACACAGACTGTGTGTCAAAAGGTACTTCACCAGCTTGGATACAAGGCTGTGAAATCAGTGGAGGAACTGAAAAATATGTCCCTCTCACTGGTACAGGACAAAACTTTTGTACCATTTTTGTAACAAAGATAGTTCTCTAATGACTATTTTTGATATATTTATAATTGTTGCCTTATAAGGTCCTTTGTTTGTTTGATTTCTGTATTTTTGTTTCCTCAAATTTGCACTAAACTTTAAAGATTTTGAATGCACCAAGGGAATTATGGATGACTCCCCAATGTTACAAACAGCACATTTTAAATACAAAGTAATCAAACAGGCTAGTTTACAAATGTCCCATGATTTAGTTTTGTCCATCAGTAGAATCCAGACGGTACCGTCTTCATCAGCTGTCTGTATGCAAGTTGATGTTGTTTTGAGAAAAGTAAGATGTTCCTCGACAAAAAAAGAGAGCAAGAGACATTTTTTTTAGCCCTGTGATGGCAATAGATTGACTGTACAAATCCTACTGTGCAATAAATGGTGAATGTCGCAGTCAACCTTTACCACTATGGCATTTCTATCCATGTGGGAAGAGAAGAGATACTTCTGACAGATGCCACGCTTTCAAAGGATAATTGCAGACAATTAATAGGCTCTCAAGTTAAAGGGACCAGAATCCCATTGGAGGTCACGAGCGTTTCATCAGAGGATTTACAACCATCTGCGATACACAAACACACACTAATAAAAGGTAATGCTGAAATCTTCATTACTGTAAGAGAATATGTGCTAATTCTCAAGAACATTAAAAAAAGACTCTATGTAGAGACTGGAGCATTCTTATGAAGAACCATTGTTTTCCCCAGTTTTATTTATCAATTTATTTATGTTTTAATATGTCGAGTCAATTGAATCGGAATTATTTGCAGTGTGAAATTTTACACAGCCTGTTCTGTCTTTAATTAAATTGTTTATGGCACTGTTCTCCATTGGTAGCGTTAAATCATCAGTTAAAACGTACACACTTGTTTTGATGGCACCTGATAAGTAGGACTTTATAAAAACAGAAAACATTGCTTGAGCAGGAACAGCTCCTGGATTCTTTCTCAATAAAATGAAAGCACGGCTCCTTAGACAGTCCATGATGCTCCTATGTTTATTTACAGATATAACTTTCATAACTGAGGAAGATATGTTTGTGCCTTTCCAATTTTACCAGGACGCGTGGGCAGTTTATGGCGTACAGCCACATTAACAAAGTCTGCATTTGATGGCATACAAAGAATAAATGCTGTCCATAATTCCGGACGAATTGTTTGATCATTAAAGAAGCAGCGAATGCGCTGTTTCCATCAAGTTGTCTTAAGGGGAGAAGGTCAAAGAAGAAGTACAGTACACCACAGGCATGTAAATTCATGTGGCATTACTTTTCCCCCCACCTTGCAATCAGCTTAAAGAGGAAGTTTTTGTGATTTTATATATTTATGGAGAGCAAAAACTGATGATATTTGGTTGTAATGCAATTCGAATAAGAATTCCAAGTAATTAAATAAAGTAATTGCAGCAATATTTGATGTAAAATTAAACACACATTATAACCCATTTGATATCGATGGTGACTTGGGCGATTAGCGCTGCTACAAATATGGTTTTTATACCCCCAACCGGCACAAACTGCAATGCTGTCGAAAATGCTCCCACAGTTGGTTCATATTCAAAGTCATGTTTACCAGGCTTATGCAGTGGCTAGTTTGGCAAACTGTCTTCACAGTTTGTGTGCAAAGTACAGTCACAATTTCATGCTGTGCACTGCATTTCTAAATATCCCGCTGTTACTGTAGCAGCTTAAAAATGAATGTGTTGGACTGTGTAGCGCAGAAACTGTCAAGGGTGCGTGCACAAACCACAGCTGCACCAAGATGCAAAGTAAATACCTTTCAGAATGATGTCGGTAAACACACTGAATATAATATGAAAAGCATGTCGTAATTTAAACTTGGCACATTTGCCACAAATAACAAAAACAAAAAAACAGTCGGAACTGAGTTAATTATTGTTGCAACTTTTAATCGGGTACATATTGCCTTCAAGGAATAAAGTAATAGTTACACCCTATAACATGACTAATGATAAAATATATATATATATATTCAGGGATCAAACATGAGAGATGTATAAAGGTTTTACATTTTATTAAAGCAATACAGTACCTCTGCTACAATAAATGCCTCGAGTGAAGATCAAAGTAGTGTCCTCAACACCAAAAAATGTCAAAAATCCCAACATTTCCTTACCCTCGTGGGCTTTTTTTCTTTTTGGGGGTTAATTTAACTTTTTTTTTTTTTAAACTGAATTTTAACCACTATGAAGTGTAACTGTGCAGTCAAGATGCTCATTTATTTGCATGCATTGACCGCTTGTTTACCCATAAGAGATAAACCCTGTGAATGGAGCACCACACGCCCGAGCTCATCAGTATTGGTGACCGAATGTCCATTGAGATGCAGAGCACAAACCTTTGATCCTCCTCTGTGCCGAGACTGGAGGCAAACTCTCTCTCCTCCTCCTTTTCTCTCTCTCTCTGCCTGTGCTTTCTCCATCATCCACCTCTTTCTTTCTTACAGAGATCTCAGGGGATTGTTCCTTTGCTTCAGTGCTCACTCTCTGTTTTTCACTTTACCTCTGAATCTTCTGGATGTGCTTGGCATACTTTTAATTTTAAACTTTAAAACTAGAAGTGTGGAATTATTTGCATTTATGTAATTTCTTTGAGAAATTAAAGGAGATGGATTGACATTTTTGGAAAATACGCCTTCTGTCAGAAAGCTAGAAGACCGGTTTATCTTAGATCTGAAACCGTACCATAGCAGCCAGTTAGTCATGCTATGCACAAAGGCTGGAAATTTGGAAACCCTTTATGTAGCACTGCCTGACACTAACACTGATTTCTGAAGCTCACTAATTAAGATGTCAGATGAAATATGTTCTGCCCCCAAACTGAAGAGTTAAAATATCTGTAAAGCTAAATCTCGGTGCTCCCCCCGCCTAGTACTTGTACTACTGCTGCTGTGCTAAAACAGATGCTATCTATCTTTTAATCTAACATCATTATAGGAAGCTTTTCAGCTGTTGTGTGACTGACAGTTTTTAACCTGTCCACTGTGATAGTAAATCTCCCTTAATGGGCTTTAATGGGATCTAGAATGCATCAGCAGCACACGCTTCTGAAAAGTAAACCTGCACTGCTGTCATTCATGTCATTTACGTCCTGTGAAATAAAGAGCCCTAACATCATTAGACAGTTCGTCAATAGGCTTTCAGCTGAATGATATCTAGCTGAACACGAACGCGTGTGATCCGAAGCTCTGCATTAAGCTCAACTCGGCTCCTCGTTTTTACCATTGAACTGTGCCAGTTTGCCAGTAATGGTCCACTTCCTCCACATGCCTGACCCCCGCACACAGTTTGCAGCCTGCTTTCCATGTGTTGGTGTGTCGGGTATGTTTCTGGGCTCTCGCTGAGTCCCTCATGTTGTGTATTGTGTCCCAGGGCTGAACATATGGTTCACAAGCCCCTGGAAGAAATTAGAGGAATATCCCTCTCTCTCTGTCCCCCTCTCTTTTTATTCTTATCCTCTCATAATGTGACCTTAATAATCCAACCCTGTGTGACTGCATGACAGAGCAGAAAGATATGTGCTTCTTTGTGTGCCCGCTGTTTGCCGAGCTGTGCTGACTGAACATGCCCTGCTAGGTTCTTGTTAAGAGTCTGCAGGAATAAAGTGATAAACTTCACAGATTAAAATCTGCTGCTCACACGTCTTGCTTTTGTCTTTGTTTACACGAGCGCATTTGGTAGTGTGTGTAAGCACTTCTGATCAGCCACTTAGCGAGATATAGTCTGTGAAAAGCTCACTGAGCCGAACAAATCATGTGAATCGTGGCACTTAAAAATGTGTCGCCACTGCTGAAGTGAACTGTGGAGACGTGCTTTCCGCGTGCTGACGAGCAGGCGTCTTCTTTGACCCCTCCTTTGTCACATTCGGGGATGATTTGTCGTGGTGTTCGACTTTTGAACAGCAGTTGCTGCTCATATGACTGCAATCAGATATCATGTGAAAACCGTGGCATGCTTTTATATAATTTTTCTGCACAGGTTTTCCAAGTTCTCATTTGATTGCTGGTAAAATGGCAGGGCTAGCAGGGCTTTAGCAAAAGTGATGTAAGCAGTTTAATTGAAGTTGTCAGCAGGTCAGCATTACAGAGGCGTAGCAACCAGGTCATTATGTAGTTAGAGATCCAGAGTCGGGTTTAATGGGCAGAGCAGCTTTGAAATTAAATTCTAAAAAATGAAATATTCTCTCTAATATGCAAACTGGAGCCGCTATCCTTCGGGGTAGTCACATTTTGTGCTTGGATTGAATTCTAATCCCAACTTTGAGTCATATTTATAATGTTGGCTCATTTTTATAGACAAGATCATTTGGCATCTGTCAGTGTTCTGTTGCTGGATACATTTAATGTTGCACCAAGCATGTTATGGGAATATTTAAATGCCTGAAATCGCTGAACTCTAACAGTATAATGATGGGATAAAAACACTGTTAATCTCCTTTTTTCATACTTAAAATTAAATCTGTACAATCACTAAATCTCTTTCAGCTTGTATGAAATGTGAAGGGGAAGAACTGGAAATGATAGCCTGTCCCCTAAAAGCTAAGAGCTGCAGCTGCTACTGGCAAGCACAGGTTACTCTCTCTGCCTCTCTCTCTTTCTCGCACACACACTCCTAGACTCACACATGCACATTCACACTGAGGAGCCATTGATGGTTAATTCCCCCGTGGAAATGTGGTTATAGGTGAGTGAGAGGGTTTGGTGTATGTGTGTGTGTGTGTGTATATGTGCAAGCAGCCTCAGTCAGGCCGGTCAGCGCAACTTACGTCACTGTGGTCAGCTGTGGCTCTCTTGCTTTGCTGCCATTGCTCAAATTCTCCCTTCGGCTGGCCTGAAAAGCTGAAATGAGATTAGCGCACAAGCAAACAAGTGTGTGCAGTCCTGAGCTAAAAATGAAGCTCACACAGCTTCGGGAATAGCGCGAACACAGAAAAATCTCAGTTTTGACATTGCGTCACATTTTGTTTCAGTAATATGAAACCTGAAAATACTGTACGCTGTGCGGAAACCTTGTGCAATATTAATATTGTTACATGGCAGAAGCCAAAGTTGGGCAGAGTGGTGTGTGTATTTCTGGCCTTTAGGATATAAATTCTCATCCAACCAAACATACATTATTTTAGACAGCGAGGTTGTAAATCGGGGCTCTAGCAGCACAGTAATGTAGGGCATGAAGGCATTTTATGGAAAATCTTATTTTCAGTAACGATGTTTGTTCAAATGATCAACAGATTAATTTCTTTGTTTGCATACTTTATTCGTTTCTCTTACAGATCTACGTATATAAAAGACAAAGTATTTTCTCATAAATCCTAGCTTAAAAGAGCACTGGCTGTGGGGCATTATCTGCAACATTGTGCAGGTTTTGATTTAAGCTTTGTCTTACA